GCAAACATTTTCCTCCTCGAGATGAACTCCAGCCACGGAGCTCGATGCACTTCAAAGCTGCAGGATATTCATATTGGCAAAACACAGATTACAGAAGTGAAAACATATTATGTTCAGTAAAAGAATGCATTACTGGTTTCTGTTTATCTCCATCTCCTGTCTTTGTTCCCTCTCCCCTTCACAGACACTACAGAGAGATCAACAACAACATCTGTTCTATATTTCTACCCAAACAAAATAATGTAGTGTCATTAGCAAACAGAACACATTTAAACAACCCTGATACATTTAATAAATCATTTATATACAAAATAAACAGCTTTGGTCCAAGTAYAGAACCCTGAGGAGCTCCACATGTGATATTACTGAGTTCAGATCATTAATTTGAACAAACTGTTTCCTATTTTTCAAATAACTAGTTACCCACTGCAGTGCTGATCCTCTAATACCATATTTACTTAGCTTTTCAAGGAGATTTTGTGATCAATTGTGTCAAAGGTTTTCTTTAAATCAACAAAACCACTAACACAGTRCTGCCTTTGATCAACAGCAGTTATTTGTTCAATCAATTCCATGAGAGCCATTGATGTTGAATTGTTGGCTCAAAACTCATACTGACTGTTACTTAAAATATTTTGTTTACTAATAAATTGATCTAATCTGTTAACAAATAATTTCTCTAAAATMTTTGAGAACTGAGGTAACAAGCATATTGGTCTGTAATTGCAATTGCAATTGAAAAAAATCTTTGTTACAGTTCCAAACAGATCTCATTTTTGAAGCTAGAATCTTTGGTTTCATGAAGTTTCTCAATAATACAATGATGACTTTTTTTCTGACCATCACAAGGTCAAGTTTCTCACTGTTTTCATTAAACGTAGAGTTGGATGTCCCTGACRGGACTTTAATGAATGACTTGAGAGCGGAGTGTTGACATGTTGCTGGAGATGCTATGAAAAGAGGATTTTCAGTTAGAGTAAACAGAAACATGTTTCTGGAAAAAGGGAATACAGTCTTAGATGTCCAGGAGGTCACGCAACAAGTCAGTGTAGGAAAGTGTTGCTTCATGAAGAACATCTTTCAATGACATGGTGTATATTGTGTTCAGTCACTTCGGTGCGACTCAAGAACCAGGAAACAAATTCAACATTAGACTTGGATGTWATATGCAAGTAAAGCCATCCATGTTACCCACAGCTGGACCAAAATACAARCCTTTATTTTCCTCAGTTTTGGTGTTGAATCAAAGAATACATTGCTATATAAACATTTTCTTCCTGAGCCCAACCCCTCTGCCGGCAATATGTCAGATCCGGGGCAGAACTCCCTACAGAAGGACTGGGCTCGGTAACAACAGTTCTGATTGTTTAAGTGTTGTGACTGAATAAGGCTACCTAATCATAACTAATCACAAGTACATTCTGTTTAAGGTGGCCGTGACATAAATTACAGTTTAATCATAAAAATTAAGTTAATTATGCAAAATAAGTTATCAAAACATATCCTAGTTGTCCTAGGAAATAAAATAGTGTGTGTAGTGCATTAAAAATGTCAGGAATAAACAGGATACATTTTTTCATATGCAAATGTAGTTTCATCAATCATATTTAAATCTTTGTCAGACTCAACATCTTTTATGAAGACAAGCAGTAAATGTCTAAAAGTGCATTTTGCTGCTCACTGTTATTCTGGGGCGGAGCTAGATTTTTTGTAAATGTTGGTCAGGGTGTTTTTAGGGGCATATTCAAATWAAAAAAAAATCTAGATTTGAAATTTCAAGATGACCGCCACAGCAATTTACAAATGGCTTTAATTCAGCTGTTTAAAAAAAATTAAGCTGTGATTGTATCAAAGAATGAATTTAAAAACATTGAATGCTAGTCACAAATTATAAGCTGAAGATTAGAGTAGACTTGGCTGAAAACACTCTACCTAATTCTAAATGTTAATTAAAAATTGAAGATGGCACCACAGCTATATTTCAGCCAATTTAAGACTTATTCAAATTTGTTGCAATGATCACATTCCAATTATCAATGCTAAGCCCAAATTAAGTTTGCCACTAATGCTAATGCTAAATTTACAAAAGGCTGCAATTCAGCCGTTTTTAAACAAAGACAGCTAAAATATTATAAAGTGCAATAGTRTTAGAAAACGATCTTTAACAAAACCTAAATCCAAAATCCAAGATCCCCACCCACTTGCCCGTTATTTGGGGTGGCCAATCAGGTGCCAGCGGTGGCTCTTGCCACCCCATCCATCCCTCTGGCTCTGGCCCTGCTGTTACTTAAAAGAGTATTATGCACATCTGCTGCTAGTTTTTTCTTATGTAATAAATAATTAGCCTCCAAAACTGACATAGGACCATTTATGTGCTTTGTCTTACTTTGCTTCATATTGCAAGTGTGCTGCGATGCGTTGCTGTGAGAATCAACTGCCAACAAGGGAAAAGAAGTACTTTTTAGATTTGGCAAAGTTACAAACAAGAAAAACGAAAAAAGATGGCTGATTATTGATGGATATGTTCACTAAGAGACACCTGTTGTCAGCAGTAATGCTCAATGTAAAAAGTGTTTTTTTTTTAATTCGTGCTTTATTTTAAGCTATACAAAACCGTTGGGGCAAATAGAAATGCTGTGGTTCAGCTGTGAAGTCCTCAACGACAAACAGGAAACCCAGCATGTATCAGATAAACATGCAGCAGAAAGTCATTTTTACAGGCACCACATGAACGACGGATATATAAGCTTTTATTAAAACAGTGTCAACATTTAAACCGAAGACTTTTTGGAGAAAAAAATGTGCAAACTGTGAACCAAAACGCATGCAGACAGATGTAAAGACGGGTAGGGTAATATGAAACAGTTCTCGTAACTGCCTTCATGTTAAAATAAATGACTGGCGACTGAAATAATCTCTTTGATGGAATTCATTCATTCATGCAAGGAAAAAGGTTCGGCTCATCATATCCCTTCATTCATTAAATAAAGCTCTATCAGCTAATCCTTAAATGGTGCTTTTGTGTTTGATGAAGCAAAGAAAAAGAAAATCCTTTGCTTTGTTTTATCTTCATTCACAACACCTGTTTTTAAAGCTTTATTTCCTTTTTGATCATTTTGAAGGCCAGATTAGATAGATCAGAGACCAAGTACAGGAGCAGTATGTATCCCATGATGCACCTGCTTTTGTCAATTTCTCATACAGCACTGAGCTTCAGCTGTTTTTTTTTTTTTTCAGGTGTTTGATGTATTGTTCTGTCTTGTTTAAGAACAGTTTGGATCTTCTCAGGTGGCTCTGAAGTCATGATCTGGACCTGTATAATTCACACATGACGTGTGAAAACCTCCACTCAGACCTGGATTCAAAAGGTTTTGGTTTCAAAGAAAATGAGCGCAGTTACGTACAACAAGGGGCCGAACCACAGCAGAAATGTTACGATTTCTTTGTAGCGTGAACTGGGCCTAAGGCTTACGTAAAAAACCCTGAAAGTTTCTTTTTTGTTTTGGCAACAGCTTCTGACAATAACAGTTCCCAGCTGAAAAGGAGAAGTGAAAATAAAAGCAGCAGGGTAGGTGCCACTCAGCCTGCTTGACTCAGCTAATGTGTGACAAGGATCCATTATTAGAAGTGTATTAAAGGGTCTGTGGGTCACACAGCACAAAGCACTTTGACTGCAGATTTATAACTAATCTGGATTTTTCACTGAAGCTTCCAGTGCTGTTTGGGTTGACCCTAATATATAGTTTATATTCAGGTTGTGACACTATGAAAACATCTGCAAACACAAGCTAAAGATAAATGAATCCAAATACTTTAAGACACCCGTGTTGACTGTGTTTAACTACGCTGCACTAAATCAGCTTGTGCTGTCTGTAACAGGGAAATTGCATCCAGAGTTTGGGGAAAACCGAAGCTTATTAAGTGGTCAGTTACTGATTAATGAACATAGTTTTAGGTGAGCTGTATATAGTGCCATCAAAGTTCATAAGTTACCTATTAAACTGTCAAAAAAGTGAAATTTAGAAGGACGGATGGAGATTGTTGAGGCTGCGGAAGGCGTGGTGCACCCTTCCTAATGGAAGTTCTTCTGTGTGTCTTGGATGAGAAGGAAATACCTCCGAGGAATTCATCGTTGGATTTTTGGGGTGTGGAAGTGTGGAGGAGGGTGAGTTTTTGATCTGTAAAATACAAGAGCAGCGGTATTCGTGTAGGACGTTTTATCGCCTGTTGGAGCTCTTTTACTGTGTCGGGTGTGTTAAAGACATCAGCAGTATTTTCTGAAACCCATTTAAACTTTACGTGTGTGAGTGCTGCTCACCTGTAGACAGATGAGGGTGGGTGTGTGTCTTCATTCAGCTTTGTGTCTCCGGGTTATTGTGTGACTGCAGATGATAAGTTTCTGTTGCAGCACAGGAAACGGTGTCTCCTCCTACACTGACAGCAGTGTGTCAGCCTCAGCAAGCACACACTAGCACGTTTGGCAGAGCAGAGTTTGTGTTTTAGTTTGCTTGTCGCGGCATCTCCTTGGCACACAGCCTCCATCTTACAAACAATTCTCCCCCTAAAGAAGTGAGGTAAGCTTTGGTTTGATTTGGGCTGTTTTGTCTTTGACCAAGGTCAGCATCTAGATCAGCTTGATTTGTTTAGGACTGTGAAAAAAACCCATGTTTTACTATTTCACTTGGGTAAATAGGTCCATCTAAGTACTTTTTAAATAGGTTTTTATGTTGTACTGTGTGTACTCCTGTTTTAATTTTATTTTGAACATTTCAGGTTATTGTATGAAATGTGGGTGAACACAAATGTGGTRCAGTTATATCCTGTTTCACACAGGAAATGAGCTCCTCACATCGGTATCCTCTCACTTAAATTGCCGCTAACTTCACTTCTTTTGAATTTACTGCTTTTGGTTTTGTTTCAAGATTAGTTTTATTGCTCGGATTTAAAAAAAAATCCTTATTTAGTTTGTATTCAATTTAGTTTTTCTTTGTYTCTCTCAGGGTCAGAGGTCAGCCTGAGCCATAGCAACATGTCCGAGTCCRCCAAGCCCCACCATCCCACCCCTCCAGCCAAGGGGGAGAAGAGCCATGTAGGYGACTTCAGCTACGTGGGCATCGACGCCATCCTGGAGCAGATGAGGAGGAAGGCCATGAAGCAAGGCTTTGAGCTCAACCTCATGGTAGTGGGTGAGTTGCGAAAATGAAATCATTTAACGGAAAAAAATAATYGTGAGCCCCAACCTTGTGATAGGTAGAATCAAGTTAAAGGAGACATATCATGCTAAATCCATACTTTTAGCTGCTAAATGCATTCTGTTGTGGACTTTGAGTCTCTGGGGGTGAAGAAAAGTGGAATTTAGTCTCCCCCAGTGCTGTGTGGAAATCCTTATATACTGTTTAGTAGGGGTGCAACAATACATGTACCCGTATCGAACAGTGCTTTAGGTTCAATACACACTTGTATCGAACAATACAGATTTTTAAAATTTAYTTTATCAACTTGTCTTCTGAAGATGCTCTGTGTTGAAGGATCAGTGGATCTGTGTTCGACTACTCCACCTAGGCTGCATTKTTGAGCACAGATCCACTGAGAGACTTGCTGTTTCAGCAACATTTAATTTAAAWACTGTACTTTTGAGGTTRAACAAATGTTCATAATTAATATAAATAAATTACAAGTTGAAAGGGGCATGGAAATTTCTCTGTTTTGTGTCGAAAAAATTATCGAACCGTGAGACTAAAGTATTGAACCGAACTGAATCGTGAATTTTCTGTATCGTTGCACCCCTACTGTTTAGGTCATATTTTTCAACGCGTTAATTATTATGTCACAGAATTTGCAATTGAACTGTAAAATAAGGTTTGGACTTAACAATTACAGTTTTGCCATCTTCGTCTTTCTCTGGTTTTGGGTCAGACTCAGGCTCCAACATGTAAGGCTGGATGGACAAGTCTTTCATTGTTGACATCTTTTAATTAATTTGTAAATAAAAGGTTTCTGCGCAGCTATATAGTTGTAAACCCTCCATCAAACTAGAATAAACCGTGCTGGAGTGGGGCGGGGTGTGAAGCGCCTTGTTTGTATTTAAAGAGACAGCTTTAAAACGAGTTTATCTGAGACACGACTCAAAAAAGGGGTGAAAGAGGGTCTTGTGGAGTTACAATAAGGAGGATTTCAGACCAAAGCATTGCAGTTCCACTTCCCCAACTGAATGATTCAAAGGTGAAAAAGGTTTTAAAAGCAGGATATGTCTCCTTTTTTAATAGAACTCACACTTTTTCTGCTTCAGACACTTCAAAATCTGAATGTTATTAGTTCAACACAATAAAAAGCTAACACTGCGGGGACACTGTTGCAAATAAAATAAAGTAAAATGCACAGTTCAGATTTATGTTTTCTTAGCAGACTCTGACTTTTAGTATTGCAGTCAGACGGCAAAACTCTGTCTAAAGCTGACATGTATCCACTTGCAGAGCTCTGACACCTCCAGGACAAATAAAACCTGAGTAGTGAAATAAAATATTGTGTAACACTTGAAAGTGCTCTACATGCAAGCCGATGCAGAACTTCAAACCTGAACAAAGAGATCTTSTTGTTATTAGAGGAAGCTTTGATGTACAGCTCAATTGTTGGACATGAGATTTTTTTGAAGTCAGGTGTTTGCAGCGACGGGCTTCTCTTTTAGRTTTGGTCCAAAAACTTCAAAGCGCTCCTCCGTTTCTTTGCTGCGTTACATGTGGATGATGCTTGATGCAGTGTTCGTTTCTACCGTGTAAATAACTTCTTCCTAGTTTCTCATAATGTAGCAGCTGTATAAAGGATAATAAGATACAAAATAGTTTCTGTCAGGCTCCAAAAACCAGAGTAACGATATAAAAGGTCAGGACAGCTGTGAGTCTGAGTCATGTCCCTGTGGTCTCGTGGCATTCAGACAATTCATTTTCCTAATGCCTCCCCTCAACCAGCTGACCTCAGCTAGGGAACTGGACTGTGTGTGTGTGTGTGTGTGTGTGTGTGTGCGTGCGTGCGTGCATGTGTGTGTGTGTGTGTGTGTGTGTGTGCCAGTGACCGAGGCAAAGGAAATATGAGCATGTGTTTGTGGGTGAATACGGTGAGTGGAACTTGAGTGTGAGGTTGGTGTAAAAGAGCACATTTGTCCCTGGGTGGAACAGAGGACCTGGCAGCTCACAGAGCTGAGCCCACGGGGGGCTGCAGACAGGAACACATGGGAAATATGGAAATGAAGGTGCTGAGTTTGTGTAAAAGTTCATTCTGAAGCAAAACTGAAGTCAGTTGGAATGTAGTGCAGTGTTAAAGCAGGTTTTTTTGTTTGCAGATTCACATGGATTGATGATTTTAAATGTGCATGATGTGAGTGAAATGGAAGTTTTAACATCTTTGTAGTGATAAAACCAGAGTAGGTTGCTTTTTATGGACAGATGCTTCAAAGTAAAACACGTAAGTTAAGCAAAACATTCACAAAAATTACTTAAATGTTTTTAAATTGAACAGCACTTTAACCATTAATATGAGGATGAAAATGTTGCAGATTTTCTAACTTTGCAGTGAGCATCTCTGAGTATTCCAAATGTAGCCAAAAACAAAAGATCCAGTCCCAAATATTTCATAATTCAAAATGCTATTTCGTAAACTTTTACACTGCAATCCTTTTTGCAATATGTGATTTATTAATATTATTTTTGCAAAACATCTTATGATATTCACGCAGAAAAAGCTCCAAGCTGTGACAGAAATGTGACAGCTAGCTGCTAGTGTTTGTTTTTGCAATCATCCACACAAGTTCTGTAAACTACAGATTTTGCATTTCCTGTGAAAATACAGAGTGAATGCTTAATGCTGAGAGAATTTTGCCGAAAACTAAAAAAAGCTAAAACAAGACTAAATATAGGTAAAAAAAATTGAACTAGTTGAAATTATCCCAAAAAAAAAACAAACAAAAAGTGCACATTTGACGAATCAAGCAGCAAGAGCTCAAATTAGCTAAAAAGTAGCAAAAATACACAAAACAGCTGAAAAAGCTCAAATTAGAAAAATGTCAGAAAAGAAAAAAAGGCTACAATTAGAAGTCAAAGGAAGCTGAAATTAGAACAAAGGAGTTTAAAAAATAGAACCAGAATAAATATAAATAAATGGTATTTAGAATGTTGAGGACAGATCCATTTATTTTCATTGAGGGGAAAAAAACAGCCAAATAGCTAAATATCTAAAAAATATATAAATATCTGAAGTAGTAATAGTCATAGTCGAAATGCCTTGAATTAGCACAAAAATTGCAGAATGAGATGCCAAAAAACATGTCACATGACTTCACATTGACATGACATTCACACAATAACCACGTGAYGTTAGATTAGGAGTTTCTAAAGATCTGAAATATATTTTTAGTAGCATCAAACTACTTTTAATTTTTGGTGTTTTTAGATCCAAATGAAAATGCTGATGTTATTTCTTACTGTGAAACAGTCTTGATGTGCCTTTCTACTCCCTTTAACATGTGGAATCTGTTTATTATACAGTGAATCACAAAGACAACCATGTTCAGTAGTCATATACATTACATCAGACGTGACTCAAGGGAGTTTATCAACTTGTGGGGGATGTTTTGTGTGTTTGTGTGTGTGGTCTGTGGTAGCCATCTCTTGGCCCCCACAGGTTGCACACCTGACCCCTGTAGTTTCCTGCTCATGCGTCTGGTTTCAAATATTCACATACACGCTCACCTTATGACCCTTTCATTGAGGGTAATGTCATGTCCATGTGGTGCAGTCTGTTTTTAGTTTTGTTGTGGAGAAAGTCTTCGGAGACGTTTTTTTAAACGTCCAGGATTGAAACCACCTGTGGATCTGACATGTTCGTGTGTGTTTTTGTGATCAGGGCAAAGCGGCCTGGGGAAGTCCACCCTGATGAACACACTGTTTAAATCCAAGGTGAGCCGTAATAAGTCAGTGCAGTCTGACCCGGAGGAGAGGATCCCCAAGACAGTCGAGATCAAGTCCATCAGTCACGGTTGGTTCATGTGTGATCTGCACACATGGTGCTCATAACATGTGTTTTCTTTTTGCTATAACCGGGATGATTTCATCCCTCCAAAGTAAACGGTTCTGTAAAAGACTAATAAATACCTGTGTTTAGATGTGGAGGAGAAAGGAGTGAGGATGAAGCTGACAGTCATCGACACTCCAGGCTTTGGGGATCAAATTAATAATGAAAACTGGTGAGTGAAGTCACTTCCCCCGCTGCTCTGGTGCCGTTACTCATTCACAACATGGGATCAGAATTATAAAAGCAGCGATATTTTTTTTAAGTTCTGTGGAAAGGTTATATTTTATTTATTATAAATGGATGAATTCTGTATTTAAACAAAATAAAGTATATTTAGCACAAAAAGTAAGGAAATTAGTGTTTGGTAGATGATTTTCTTTGTTGTAACGCTTCTTGAAACAGCACCTGCGGGGACCAGAAGCTCAAAACAAGAGTCAACAGCAACAGTAAAATAAGCTGTTTGGCAGAGAAGATTTTGCCAATTTTTCATGTGCACAACCCACATACTCAGCTCCACTGCTCATCCCACAAATGCATGTTCCTTACTGTGGCACCGTTTAAAAGAGAAGATAACATAAGTTTTATTGCCCAGAAGCATTGTTACATCAAAGAAATAATGAACCAAACACAAATTTCCTTCTAAGTTAAGTTTATCACTACATTCTAAGTAACTGTGTATGTTTTTGAACTTTCCCACTCCAGCTGGCAGCCCATCATGAAGTTCATCAACGACCAGTATGAAACCTACCTGCAGGAGGAGATCAACATCAACAGGAAGAAGAGGATCCCAGACTCCAGGGTGCACTGCTGCATATACTTCATCCCTCCCACCGGCCACTGGTAAGAGTCCACTTCAGAGAAAACCAGCGTCCTCATCAAGTACTTTACTTTGTCTGAAACAATCACTGAAACGAGTCGAGGCTCTCGAAACGCTTCTTTTACCACCTGTGTGTAAAGAGCTCTTGAACACGTCTTCCATTGAATTTTCTTTTGCTCTCTCCRCTCTGACGGCTCTAAGTGGAACTTATCCTCCCTCTCAGTGCTTTTCGTATAACAGCTCTTGTTTAAGCAACAATTTATTCTGACTTTTTTAAAATTAAACCAAACTATATGATTTATGGTTTGTGTGGTTGTGTTTATAGCCTATGTGCCAGTAGAAAACTAGACTAACCATCCCAGTGCCGTGTGACCCACTCTGCTTCACCTCGACTCGACAGCTGCCCACTTGGAAAACAAGTCCTCAGTATAACCAGGGGATGACACATGATACGTGTGTGTCCTGTTGTTTGACAGATGACATCATCATCTGCTCACGGTTCCACAGCTGCTGCTTTAGAGCGAGCGAGTGTGTGTGTACTTGTGTAAAACAGGGTGCAGGTAGTGGACTGAAGTGGGCTGCAGACATTCTGACACTTGTGTAACTGTGCTTGTGTTTGTGTGTCAGCTAACATGCATCGCCTCCTCGTTGTGAGTTTACTTTTCCGTTTGTTTTTTGGAATCAGAAATGTAAACGTCTTTCTTGCAGTCGACCTGAGGAAGCAGTAAAACAAAGACATGTTTGAACCTGACATGCTTTAGGAATGAAAGCGTGGTTAACACATATTCATCGATGTCATTTTATTCAGAGTCAGACATGTTACAGTAAAGTTTGTTTGGATCACATTATCAGTAGCAACAARTAGCAGTGATCCTCCTGCTGGATTTAGTTAGCTTCATTAAAACCAGTATTTACTATGCTCTGTTGTGAATATAAGATTTGCAAATYATTGTATTCTGGTTTTATATACATTTTACACAACRTCCCAGCTTTGTCAGAATTAAGGTTGTGCATTATGTTATGAAATTGTCATGTGAAGAGACACACACGATGATCCAGCACATGCCTGCACTGTTGTTTCTACACATACTTGGTTCATGCATTTTTTATTAAAGARAAAAAAMSCCACTAAAACTGCTATTGATCTTTTGCAACTGCGTCACCTAATCATACGGAGGCACCGTGACGAACGAACAGATGGATGTTTTAGGTAGAGGGCTTAAGCTTTTACAACGTCATGAACGTCCTATCGAGTGGAGCTTTTTTCAGACGGTGAAACAGACGTGATGAAGTCCCCATGCTCGTCTGGACCGCTCTCCGGCACGTTTTCCAGCAGACTGAAAGCTGGTGTTTRTCGGGCCTTAAAAGCCACTGAATTCAGTCTTTTCTTGCTCCTCAACTATTTCATTTACTTCCTTTTAAACTGTGGACCTTTGCTGACCCACAGCTGTGGAGCTCATTTTGGTGTGTTGGAGGTAGCATGGTGTAAATATGGCTTTTCTTTAAAAGTGAWATGACTGTTGTCAAAACCTTTTCTACCCTGACATATATGAATTATGGCCCAGCACTATTAGGAAGTATTAACCTGGCCCTTGCCTTCCTGCACAGCTCTGCTCAACTCTAGTTTCCATAAACTCTATTGAGAAATAGGGAGTCCAGAYCCTCTGTATGAAGCAAAGTACAAGAGGCTGTTTTTACCAGGCTAAGGAAATATATGAAAATTAATCTTCTTACCTTGTAAAAAGCGTTTGCTGCAAATCCGTAAATGCACTGAGGGCCTCCTGTCCGTACTGTTGATGGCTGCTGTCCATCGCTGTTTTCTATCTTCATCCAAAAGTATGTCATAAAAATGACAGGTTTGGTTTGTTTTCTTGTCTCTGCAACTGACCGTCCAGCACCTTATGACCCTTTTTTCAGGTGAATCAACCAAATATGAGCAATATTAGGCTACCAACTGTCTTAAACGTGCATTTGTTGTTTTGATGTCCGTCATGCAGGAGTGGGCCTCCTTCTGAAGAGCGTGAYGTCACGTGCAATACGTTTGTTTTTATGTGTTTAATTGTTTTGTTTTGTGTTTAATTTTTGCATTTGTGTTCTTTTGCCCCATCCAGCTTTAGATTCATGACTTGTTCAGCGTCGCTCATCTGACTTAACTTTGTGCTGCTCTGTTTATCTTTTCCTTTTTCTCTGCTCGTTGTAACACGTGCTCACCAGTGTTGCATCCTGTTTCAATTCGCGCGCGTGTGTGTGTGTGTGTGTGTGTGTGTGTGTGTGTGTAACAAGCTGGGCCTTCCCTTCATAACCGCCCCTGGGAGTTTTGACTGAAGCAGACTAGCTTTGGCTCAGCTGAGGCTAATTGGAGAGAAACAGATTGCATGATGGGARTTTGTGTGGAGGATCAGCTGAAGGCAAAACTGAGTCAAGAAATAAGAAAAATAAAACTAACATGGAAACAGAACAGAGTTAAAAGACAGTTGTAATAATCACTACAATGGCCATTAAAAGCATTTTGTTGTCATTAAAGTTGGACGATCAAATAATGTAATGCCTGTGACTGTGTGGATCGTTTCTGTCATTGTTACAGTTACAGTTGATACACTATTGGAGTCAACCTAAATAAAAAGAGTTAATTAACCTTAGACATGTAAATGGTGATAATTCAATCAGGGACACAGATATTAAGCTAAAATTTGGTGTGGTAGAAGCTCAGTCATTCCATCAAACACCTAAATACTGTCAAATCATACAAGTTATTATTACTTTGTTTTAATACAGTAATTTGCATGCAGTGTTGATGTGTTCCATCTTAATCCACAAAGAAAAAAAATAGGAAAATTGCAAACAAATAAGCATCTTAAAACACTAATCTGATTAAAAAAATACTTTATCTACCGTTTGCTACAATGACAAGAGGTTGAAACAGTARACAGTTTCTGTGAACCCAGAACAGACTGTAGTCTGCTCTGCCCTCTAGTGGCCATTCTCTTTCATTACATCAACTCTTAAGGAAAGGAGTTCTTGAAATTGACTCGTGGCTTTCTGTGCTCCTGCAGTCTGAGGCCTCTGGATGTGGAGTTCATGAGTCGTCTCAGCAAAGTGGTGAACATCGTACCCGTCATCGCCAAAGCTGACACGCTCACMCTGGAGGAGAGGGACAGCTTTAAACAGACGGTGAGAAGGCATTTATGACGTCAAAACATCTCATGAACAATTTCTATTATAAGTATTTATTAGATGCACATCTACAACTGATCAGCTTTTTTAATTTGATCTTTACCTCAGCTGGCGTTTCAGATATTGAGCTAAAATTTGATGTGGTAGTAGCTGATCATCTGCAACACACTCTTTTAGTTCAATTTTTTTGCAGTATTGCATGAGTTTGCACATATTTTACCAAAATGGCTACAACACTATTGCTTGATTCTAAACCTGTATGACAGGTGGTGAGTGGTATARTAATAGTATATAGTGTTACTTACTGTAGGTACGTGTTTACATTGTGTTATCCCAGCTGATAGCTTCACAGAGGAGTGCAGAGACATGATCAAAYGCTGGCCTTCTCTCATAAATCCACACTTTTCGTCCAGAGGGAGTATTCAGTTCTCTCTGTGTGTCACAGTCATCTCCCTCCTCTATAACACACTCCTCAGTCTGATAACCCTCATAGCTGCACCTTCTCGTTTTTCTGCTGCAACAATTTCTCGTTTCACCTGGTTTGACCGATCGGCTCTTCGTGTCTTCCTCTGAGAGTTTCTATTGGATCATTTTAAACGAGCCTGCCAGTCACCCGCTGTTCCTTTATCCATCCACTCCTTTTTTTTTTTTTCTTTTAGGAAACAATCGTTTTATTTCAGCGAGGTGGAAGCAGCACAGTGGGTGTTTTGGCTGCTGTGTGTTTCCTCTGATGCTGGCAGCAGTGTCCACACAGCGGGTGGTCCTGTCCCTGACAGAGAATAGAAGCTGCAGGGCTGCCGTAGGAGCTGGGTTGTTTTGGTTGGCCTCTCATGCACAGTGTGACCCTGAAAATGATTCACTATAAGCTTTTAGTGCCCTAAAATTTGCTGCTCTGCAACCCCTTCATAAAAAAAAACAATAAATTATTTTTAACTCACTTCATTCTGAGCTTTGAACTCTTCAAAGCAGAAGTTAAACTTTCCTCTGAACTGATCTCAGTTTGAGCTCTACAGCGCTTTAAGAACTTTGTATTTTAGGTGCATATTTGACTCTGTGTTCTTGTTGTGTTGCTGTTCCTGGCTGTGCGCAGATTAGGGAAGAACTGCGAGACAACGGGATCGACGTTTACCCCCAGAAAGAGTTTGACGAGGATGCAGAGGACAGAATGATCAACGACAAAATCAGGGTGAGTTCAGCTGCTGACCTGAGTCCCTGCAGAGTTTAGAAGATGGAGCCGAACACTGCCCTGTAGTAGTTTATAGTTTAATTTAAAGACTCACCTGCTGCCATGTCATGTGTGCATCTGTTTGTGTGTCATGCTGTTAGCAACGTATTTGATGAACCAGCTGGCAGATCWTAAAGAAAGTACCAGGAAGTAATCACTGGCTATACGTTAACAGTATAACTTTTGGAGTCCACCTGATTCAAAATGGCCGCCAGTGTTAATGGAAACACACAGGTGGCCATAACTCTCAGTTTAACAGAAAGCGTGCCAACATTTGCTGTGGTAGTAGCTGAGAGTCATTACCAACATGTTCTCTGAGGGTTTAAAGGCCAAGTCAGATCTTTGTTTTAGCCTGCAAGGTGGCAGCTGGTGTATTACTTCAGGGAAGGTGTCACACTGCAAAAATTAGCCATCTGAAAAACAAGTAGATTATAGTCTGAAACGTCTCAAATTAAGTGAAATAATCTGTCARCGCAGCAACTTGATGAAGCCTCAAAAGTAATGAAAAAAAAACTTTTTTGGTGATATGAGATTGTAAGATTTGGTGAGACTAGACAGTTTTTGCAGTGCTTTCTGTTTCTTATTCATTCATTTATTCATTCATTCATTCATTCATTCATTCATTCATTCATTCCTTCATTTTTTGAGAAATTGAACAAACCCCCTGTTCTGTTTCACATCAGGAGATGATCCCTTTTGCTGTTGTGGGCAGCGATCAGGAGTACCAAGTGAACGGCAAGAGGATTCTGGGAAGGAAAACAAAATGGGGCACCATAGAAGGTGAGAACACAGCTCTGAATACAGATCAGTCAYGTTCACACAGGGGCTGTCAGAAATGTTGAAACGAGGTCAGGCGGTGTTTTTGTTTAGCTCCCAGGCACATGTTTACATGCAGTATGTTTGTTTGACTCTGTAACCTCTGAGACAAAGAAGGAATGTGTGCAGATTCACAGGAACTTTTATCTCTTTGGAAGGAGAACGTAAAGCACAGGCCAGCTACGTTTATCTTGAACAGTCATTGTATGCAAGAGCATTCATGAGGGAATATGTGACTTTTTCTTTATTTTTTATTTTTTTATTTTTTGTAGAAGTGGCAAAACGAGGGTTACTTCAGGTTCTAAAGCCTCTTTCAGACCAAAAGCGGTTTTCATCAAGCTTGCTGCTGAACCCAGCGGCGGGTCCTGTGAGCCGTTTATTCCACAGCAGATCGTACACAATATTTCTGCTGAGCGGAGAAAGCTCCCGGTTATGATACAGTACGGTCGTCTATAATAAATCTGCATTTAAAGAAAGAAAAAACAARCTAACAAAAGATCTTGTACTCTTTATGCATGTAAAAAGGAGAACTCAGGCTGGTGAAGGAGCTCTGTTTTCAGTGACGGAGCAGTTTAATCTTTCTGCACGTTGCTCGGCGCAGGGCCTAACATTTTATGCAGCACATGTTTCTGTGTGCATCATTATCCTGGTAGAAACCAGCCCCCTGTTCGTACAGAGGGTCTGGACTCTCAGCTATTGAGAAGCGATTTCTTCCTGGAGGCGTGGCCTCTGTTGAAGTTTAAAACGATTGGATCTGATTTTCCCAGTTGCTAACGTTTGGCCGTGATGCATGCAGTGCACCAGCTCAGCTRTGAAGGAGGCTAAGCTAAGAGGCTAACTGGAAATTGCGTGCTCTGTAAACAAGCATCCCCTACTGGGAAGAGAGAAGTACGGAGCTGAGCGAGATGGCTGTAAACGAGTGCTGCAGCTTTGTGAGATGAATTTCATTTTAATTTATTTTGAAGCCTTGTCAACACGGACTGACTTCATTCAATTCCTCCGCTGCCTTTGCTAAACTACAGGCAGACTAAAACGGTACAGAAAATCAAYGTTGTCGTTCAAAACTCCTCCTCCTGTTTGCTGATTGGCCCGGCTGAAATTCTACTGGAGAAGTCCTTGTCTATGGGAGAAATCCCAGATGGAGCAGTGAAGGGAAGCTAGAATTGAGTGGAACTGTGCGGGAAGGCAAGGACCAGGCTATGCCTGTGCTGCTGTTTATTAAAAACTCTAAACTGGGGGGACGAACTTGGGGGCCAAAATTTAAGACGTGGTCCAAGTCAAGGGCCAACTTCTCTAATTGTTTACTAAAAAATGCTGTATAACTATTTATATTTTATGTTGTGTTTTGAACATAAATACTCCAACAGATAAAGTAAAAAGATTGAATTCAGAAAGATGTATCATTTGTTTTCATTTTTTAGGCCTTATTCTTAATCAACAACTTTTCCATTTATTATTTCTCAGAGATATGTTTGATCAAAAACCAGCAAATCGGTTAAAAAAGAAAAACATCAATAAAAGTTAAATTAGGATGAGAATACAGGAAAATATGAAAATAATAAATAAATTAACAAACTCATAATGTGAAAGCTWATTTTTTATACCATCATGTTTGCTCTGCAGCTATCATTGTGCTTTATTTTACTTTCAAAGGAAAAAAGTTCTCAGAAAAGAAAAAAAATCTCATGAACTCATGAATCCTTTCAATCAGGGATGCTTTGAACACCTCCATGAAGCTGTAAGGTTGGAGAGGTGAAGCAAAAAACGGCATGAAAATGCAGCTTTTGTCTGACTGACGGCACAATAGCTGCATTTTGGTAAAACCAAGCGACAGCAGGAGGAGACAGGAAGCTGCTGGATGTGTAAACGGGACAAATGGAGCTTAACGTGTTTGGTCTTTATATATCCAGAATCTAAAATTGGGGGGAGATGAATATGTAGGACAGCTGATGAATGAACACAGGAACCTCTCGGTGCTTCTGCAGCAGCTAGAAAACCCGTCTGAACCTCATCTCTCGCAGCACGTTCCCTCGGTGACTCTAATCAGCGCTCGCAGGCCGAGCAGCTATTCCCCTCTCCTCGCCTTCAAAGTGGATTTAATTTCCTGCTCTGAATTTCAAAGCTTTTGCATAAACGGCGCCCTCCTTTTATTTCATTTTCAACCCCTTGACATAATCTCTAATTCCAACATGTGTTAGCCCTACCGGAGGCTCCGCCGACTTGTCATGGGGAGTTTGTTAAAACGTCTCATTTAAACGTCCTCCACTCGGGAGGAGAGATGAGATGTATTAAACTCCTCTAAAGAGGAGGAGTGCGTTATCTTGGCTTAAGAGAACTGCGGCAGATGTGGSTGTGGAGGATTATCCTCAGCTGACTTGTGGGCGATGCTGCCATCTTGTAGTGGTTTAGGGTTTGAGCTGAYGTTTGAGAGATTCAGAAACTGATCACTGTTCTTCTTTTGCAGTCGAGAACGTCGCACATTGTGAGTTTGCTTACCTGCGAGACCTCCTCATCAGGTGGGAATTCATGTTATCTTTGATTTATTCTTTCAGGTGGGAGGGGTGACTAAAAACAGGTATTGACTGAGGCTTCATTATAAAGCGGCTCTGAATCGATGAAGTTTTCATTCTCTTTAAAAATCAATACAAATGATATTTCTTCAGTTCTGCTTCTACAGTGTTCCCTCCTTTTAGCACGACTCTTTCAGGCTGAGAAACTTTATTTGCTTGCTGAGTTCTGACCTGACTCTGCTGTCAAACTACAAACTAAAAGCAAAGTTAGTTTCCTAATAAAGTATCACAGAAAGACACTTATGGGTGAAAAATCCCACCACAGCACTAAAACAGCCCCTCAGCAAGATTTTAATGATTTTTTTTTCTCTATTTAAGGAATTTTATTTAGTTAGTTTTTAAGTTTTTTTTTTTTTTAAGCTGGTATAAACTAAGGAGTTCACTTTTTTGTCACTTCCTGTTTCACTTTAGACATGCCAAGTAAAATAAAGAAAAAGTTATTTGACAAAAGGGCATTATGGCAAATTTCTTAAAGCAGACCACATTTTGTATGATGGATGGATGGATGGATGGATGGATGGATGGATAGATAGATGGATTCTACACCACAGTCCTATCTATGTTACCTTCAGTTGTTATGAAAACATTGTATATAACAATAATTAATTTGACTTTCTAACAGGGATGTCCCAATCCAGATTTTTTGGCTCCCGATACAATCCGATGTTTTTACTGATTAGTCTTTCCGGTACCGATCCGATAGCTTTATTTCTTTCCAAGTGACAAGTTTGGTAGTATTAAAGYGAGCCCTGCTGTTCCCACCATGAGAAACATCCAGTTTGCAGATTTTGCAAGCTGCAGTTTCAGCATCATTGTTTTCCAGTGAAAAGTGTTCTCACACTGTGGACATGGTTGTATACTTAAGTGCGTCTCGACTTCTTAACGGCAGTTGTAAAGCATGATGATGCTGAAAACTGGATCGGCCCTGTCACATGACTAAATCCGATTAAAAATGACCATATCTGCCACCCATACMGACTATCTGATCGGGACATCCCTGCTTCCTAAATACCTTGAAACCTGAACCTTGAAACTTGAACCTCTGCCTATTTAAGAACCTCCTACTGTTTCTGACGCTCCCACTTCAGCACGTCTTCACGATGCTTCATGCCATTTACAAGCTTTTGTAGGAGAAAAGTCCAACTAGACAAACTGTGTCCTCCTTAGGAATTGTTAAAAGAGGATAGTCTCTTTGGCGTTCAAAATTTTTTTCCTAAATGAAAGTATTTTATAATCTGATGAGGTCTGAACTGAAGTAGCTAGCATTACAAGCTCAACAGACATGCAGCTCCAACTGGTGTTTGCTAATTGTTGCTGGCACGGAGCTGTGTGGGGGAGGGGTGTTCTGTGGGGCGGGGGCTCGGCTGCAGACTGAGCTCCAGGGAGGAGCTATGTACAAATAGGCGGTGCTTTGTAGCAGCAAGCGTTTGGGCAGCTCCGCGTGGCTGCAGGAGATTCTCAAAAAATGCATGAATGAGTCAAAGCAACACTTTGGGTATGTTTCTGATGAGGGAATGACATAACATGACATTTGTATTTTTTTGGCAGTTTTTAAAACAATGCAAATATTGTGAAGTGGTTTTTTCTCTCTTCTATAATTAAGACATCTTTTTATTTTATTTCAGGACACACATGCAGAACATCAAAGACATCACAGGCAGCATCCACTACGAGACTTACCGTGTCCGCCGATTAAACGAGTCCAACGGCCACCTCATCTCTCAGCCCTCAGACGTGCAGCCGAAGGCCAACGGTCATCTGGAGGTGCAGCCTGCGGCCCTGCAGGCCAACGGAGTGGCTGCTCAGCAYGAAGCTCTGTCCCACGAGATGTAGAGAGGGGCGGGCACCGGCGGGCATGAACATACACTCAGACATGAACCGGCTCACACACACTGACCATGTGAAGATCCTTTGAAATACACAGGTGGACTACCAACTTCAGCTGTTTTTTTTTTCTCTCTGACCTTCTCTCCTCTTTTCAGTTCTGTTCAATAGGCTCTCATCTGGATTGGTATTGCAAAGGTTGTCAGATCACAAGTTAGATTTTTAAGCGTTGGAAACATAACAGCAACAGAGGAAAACTTCCTTTGCACAGAAAAAAAAATACCCAATGAACTGTCCAGATGGGAACAAACAACATCATTTAAAATGAAGCAACCTGCCTGGTTTGTTTTGTGCTGTGGTGTATAGATTGTATAGTCACTAGGGTTACAGTAGGGACATTTAGATTAGCTCTATATATGGATAATGTCGTCGACACCTCCACACTGTAAAATGAAAAGAAAGCAGTGGTAGTGTGGAGCAGTTTGCAGAAAAAGGAGAACCCCTTGTCATTTTTTTCTGTTGAGATGTTTTAACGAAACCTTTTTGCCAAACCTTACCATGTCTTTCTATATATTGCCAACCATGTTGTGTGTTTCCTCTTACATTGCTCATTTACTGTTGTAATTTTATTGCTTATGTTGATGTTCTAATATTGTTGTACAAGATGGGAGTGCAGCGGTTGTCCCATGCAGCTGTTTTGTCCATATTTCCGACTGTAAACCAAATAAAAATGCATTTCTTGTTCTTAAAAAAAGCACATACAGTATATAGTGTTTACTTATGAGTAGGTATTTATATGTGTAGTTTAATGTAATCCAATTGATTCCACTTAAGTTTAATGCAGGTCTTAAACTGTGATTAAAATTGTAGGTCGTTTCCATTCTTTCAGCATGTTCCCTATTTTTGAGACTGCTCYGTGTTTAACATCAAACAACTTTATTCATTATAGAATTATTCTTTCCAACATGACAATTACATGCATAATATTACAACCACATGCTGCAGATTTTCTGTTACGACTGTGATGAAGGATTGGTGTCTGGAAAAAATAAAAAATAAATCTTGCCCGTAAATTAATGCAAACAGATTTCAGCAGCTAAAAAGTGAATATTTTTGATATCACAAAAGCTCAAGGGATGTTTTATAGGATAAATCTATTTATACCAGTCTGATTTTCAAATGCAATGTTGAGTTTACCCAAAATTATTTTCTAAACAAAATTGAGAAGAACTAATGTGTCTTATCAGATAAAGTGAATTAAACTTTGTGTACTGTTGTATAGTTCTTGTGTCGTTTGTGTCATTGTAGACTRAGGTTTGGTATCTTTGATATGCTATCTGAAAGAATAAAGATTGATATTTTTATTGTTTGAAGTGGATTGTCTTGATAAAAGGAGCAACTGTGACTTTGAATCTGCAGGTTGAAAAAGTTACAATTTTTTTTTTCAAGAGATTCTGTGGAAATATGAACATTTAGTATCTTACCTGTTGCAGATAGTTTTTTGAACAGGCTCAGTTTGGAGAAATGTGTTTCTTTCTGACAAGATGGTTGAGGTAAATGCTCAGAACATGGCCTCAAAAATTTCAAACTATAAAAACATTAAGCAGAAGTTAAAATGTGTTATCACTGCATCTGCTCATATGATGACTCAGCATATTAATAATTTTGAACATTTGTTTAAATATACCTTGATTAGGTAATTTTTCCATCATAATTATGCACTTTTTTTTCCCGGTTAATAAATCGAAACCTTCTATCTATGAGAAACAAATGTTAGGTGTCTCCAGTATACACTTACTAAAATGCCATTTCTCAAAAATAAAGAGAAAACTTCTATTTCTAGCATTCAGTTAAAACAACCTGAAGATGTGGTGAAAAGTTTTTCTCTGTTCCCTCAGTCAGCAGATCTCACTCTTAGTGAAGATACCTGGTTGTAAAGTTAGATCTAAAATAAAATATCTGTTTTGCATGAAGTTTTAATCAAGCGTATCAAAAAACAGACAAATAATATGGCTAGTTACCTTTTCAGGAAGAAGTGGAACCTTACATCAAAAAGACTGCATGAGGTCAAAAAGTGCGCCTGTCAAACTGGAGATCTTCCCACTGGTTCCATGAACAGAGGGGGTGGGAGGTGTGAAGTCAAGCTTGGGAGCACAAGGGTAGAAACCTTTGTACGATCACCTGCTGGCTCAGAGACTAGAAAGATGATTCAAAACATTTGAGCTCTGTGGAAGGTGCAACTAAACATGGATTAATCTGAAAAACTGAGAGGAAGCTGGTAAGAAAGCAAACTTTTGAAACAACACTGTTGTCTCTGAGATGATGCTGCAGCTGATGCAGGCAGAGCTAAGTGCTAATGAGGGTGTGGCCCAAACATTTCCAATCTCTTGTCTTGTGTGTCTTGGTTTAGAACAATTACAAGAGTTAGTTTGATTTGCTAAACGTTTTAGGTAAACTATTGATTACTTATTTGCTCAWTGATAATGTGTTTAGTACTGTGAGTATTTCTTTGTAGCAATTTTTACAAATATCTATGAAAAAGAAGACAGTCATGAAGTATTTAATTACAGATTTTGAAAATAGCCAYGAGTTGTTCGAAGTTTAATGCTGTTGAAGAAAATAGATTCATTAAAATTCATGGCAGAGGAAATAAGAATGGAATGAAAGAAAATAAAGAAAGGAGGATTATTTAGGAAAGCACAGTTAAATAACTAACTCAACAGTAACAAATCACAATAAAAACACTGAAGCTWACACTTTGTGGTAAGGAACCACAAAAGTTATAAGTAATTTATCTCAAACCTGCACTAATAGTTGGCTCTAAATGACAGAAATGTAGCGTGTCACATTCACAGCCCAATCCCCACAGAGAGGAAATGTGCAGGAGCACAACACTGTGCACACTTCAGACTGCTTTAATATGACTCCTCATTTACACCTCTAGTTACACACCTTCTCAACTTCCCCACTAACAGTAATGTGTCAACAGTGTTGCTTTGGCGGAGGTCGCGGTCTTCGTTGCACAAATTGGAGCCCCTGCTGTGGCTTTAGTTTCAGTCTCTGTGTGGGATTCAGCCTCTCGCTGCTGAGCGCAGTCATGTTTTGGTGACAAATGTGAAGGTGAGAGACGACAAACCTGCAGGAAGACGAGTTTCCACCGAAAACTCCCCTGAAACGAAATCCTCTGGTTCCCAGGCTGCCTCGCTCAGCATGCAGGTGAGTGATAATAGAGTTCTGGCACCAACATGACAGCATCTGATCCAAGGCTGGTAGGGGTGGTGGACATATTTAGAAATGTGTTTGACCCCACATTGACGCAAGACATTATCATGTGAGCACCAGAACTATTTCTCAYGCTCACGAAAAAAATCTTACTTTAAAATAGTTTGACAAAGTTTGACCTGTATGTTCATTCATCAACATCCCCTTACCAGTCCGAATTAATATGTCAATGTAGCCCAACTAACAAGTTTTATCTTATCCATTTTACTTTCAGTGGTTTCTAAGTTCAATTCTATACAACAATCAAGCATCTATGTTACTTTCAGGTGTGTTGATTGTGATTGTAAGAATGCTGTGTTCATGCTGTAGATTACAGCTTTGTGCTGTCATTTTATGCCTTTACAACCCATCAGAGCAAGTTTTCAATATCATATGAATGTACAACGTTTAGTTACACCCAATAGGGTGATATTTTATCATCTCTGATCATTTTTATTGCCCTGCAATAATAAAAATATACTTTTTCAAAGCAGTTATGTCTAGAGCAGGCCTAACCTTTTTTACACATTTCATATTTTGCACAATAACATTGTCACCCTTGGTTAAAATAATTTATAAGAGATAATATTTTACATTTAGATACTTCTTTGGTGGGGAACTCGAAAAGTAAATTTCTGGATGTGTCTGGTAAAAATATAAAAGGTAAATACCAGTGAAAATAAAAATATTTTTGTTATTATGGGTATCTGTTGAGCCTGATTGGACTGATTTATTAAAGGGATGAAGAATTAAGACCATTAATTAGTTGTAATATTCCAGACTCAGTAATTATGTGTTACATGAGACAGGACATGTTTTTTGACACCAAACAACACCTCCCACCCCCATTAGAGGCCGTGTGGTCCCTCATATTTCACACGGCTAAAACACCTGTATTTATGTCTGCAGAGTAATCATTCTATTTATCACATTTTCACTTTCATCTCTTAATATATTGTAGCCTTTTAGATGTATTTCACGATGTATTTCACATTTAATTAATTTAATAAAAAATACCTTTTGACATATGTTGTCTGTTAATTTGTAGAAGTCTAGATTTAAGTTATATAGTATAGGTCCATGTCACACCTAAAATATTTAACACTGTGCTGGAATAAAATATTTTAAAAACAAAAATAAATTGTGAAGTTAAATAGTTTAATATTCATTAAATATATAGTGTATCAAACTGGCAGCTGTTAAGCTAGAGCTGTGGCAAACACTGACTTGCACCTTATTATTATTCTGCACATAGATCCTAATTTGTAACAATGACAACCAGAGGTGGGACCAAGTCATTGACCAAGTCTTAAGCCTTTATCCTGAATTCAGAGTCAAGTCTCAAGTCATAACAAAAAACTGTCAAGTAATTTTTCAAGTTTTGAAATCTGATGAATTTATCCCATACAGCTCACGCACACATATATACAGAGTTTTAAAAAATGACAGTCTGACTTTATTTATATGTAATGAGTGAAGTTAATTAATGGGTCCCACTTTATAAATRACGTGTATTAAACTTTAAATTTTTGATAAAATATCAAGTATTTTCAAGTAAAMAGTGTCAAGTCCAATGTAAGTCCAAGTCATTGGTGTAAAAGTCCAAGTCAAGTTACAAGATGCTGAACATTGTTTTAAAGTCAAGTCTAAAGTCATAATATTAATGACTCGAGTCTGACTTGGGTCCAGGTCATGTGACTCGAGTCCCCACCTCTGCTGACACGTGTTTACTGGTGGATAATTCACACGAGTCTGTTTACAGCTAACATTATGTGTTGCAGACCAGCTGACCTGAATGACTGTTTTTCTGCAGCATAGTTCGAGCAAAGCAAAGAAGAAACACAAATTAAATGTTCTTCCTTGAGCTTTTGTCTGTGAATTTCACWGTTTGCTACAGTTTACAGCAAAGCATTTAGTTCCTTATGTGGTATTCTTCCTTTTTTGGGGGCTCTGCACAGACATGCATGTGGTACATGTTGATCCACAGTCAACACACAGCAATGGTGCATGTCTCAAACCACGTGACGTCCAATCTAGTAATTTACATCAACGGTATAAACTTAGTTTGAGGTGAAAGGCTGGGAGGAACGAGTGGGGGAGGGTCTGCTGGAACTGAGGCAGCTCTGGCTGAATTCAAAGACACTGGGAGGAATGAGAAGATGAGGGGACGGTCGCTCTGCATAACCAATCAGAGACAATAGTGATAGCAAGCGCTCCTGCATTCTTGACAGGACTGATTGTTTTAATGCAGGAATGGAAGCGGGGGGTGGGGGCATTAAAGGAATCAGGWTGTAAGATGTTGGCAGGTGCATGGTGCACTATAATGAGCTGCCCCCACCACAAAGCCAAGGACATATACCCAAGGGGAACTGATTGAATGCCATGCCAATAAAACGAGGCAGTTTCATGCACCATTGACCGAGTTGGCATCCTCACAGTCACACTGTGATGAACCCCCCCCCCCCCCCCCGCTTCGAGGTCAAGATAATATGAATTACATTTTGTTCCTCTGTGGATTCGCTCGCTCTGAGGCAGAATGAAACCATACCCCTTCAGTCAATTCTTCTTTTTCTTCTTCTCTCCTTCCAGTTTGTGTTTTTCACTGCACGTCAAAATAAGGGGAAAATCGGATTGAGTGTTTGTTTGGTGTAATGAAAAGATCAAATTCTGCTTCACAATAGGTGGGTAGAGGAATAATCAGATTTGAGCCAGCGGCGCACATACAGCCCGGAGAGATCGGCCTTTCATTTTCTCYGTTGGTGGAGCAGCGTGTCCCTGAGCGGGCTAATAGAATGCTTGTCCCGAATCTTCTCAGCCATGAACTTTTCTTTGTATCAATTACATTCAGTCTGGAAGCATGCCTTTAAACAAAATAAAGGGTTTTCTCTAAAATCACATTTTAACAACAATAAGAAAAAAAAGAGCTCAGTGATGTTTCATCAAAAAGCTGCAGGTTTTTCCCACTTCTCCTTTTAAAAGCACTTGAAAGAACATGTGAACAGAATAGAGAGCATTTTTTTCTTTTTAAAAATTGTACATTTGTTTTAGGCAAATGTAATTCTTTATAAAATTAATTGATAGGACAGTAATCTCAGTAATAACATGCAGCCTAGCAGATGGAGAGGAGTGGTTTACATGGTGATGAAAGACTTGCAGGGGGACATATTGAGGTTAATACTGTGTGGACTGCTGCACCATCAGGTGCTTTTGAAGTTCTTTTATCTTTTTATTTAGTTCAGCACTTCAAAACCTATTCCCAGATGTCATTTGTTGAACAGATTTTTATRCTTTTCAGTTGTTGCTCCTATTTGAGAAGCCACTTTTTAAAATGAGGAAAAAACATGGTTTTATGCATTTGTTAAAAACACAGCTTTGCTTAGGTTATTATGAAWTTTTACTCAAGTAAGAGTAGTGATACCTTTAATTCAAGTAAAGTAAAAAGACTAAATTCTAGTCAAACAAGTCATTTTATTGAGCTGGGTTGGAGCAGTGTTTGGGTTTGTGCCGCAGATATTGCAGCACTGCCTCCTGCTGTTTGTTCGCAGTCGTAGCAAGTCTGTGTCAGCAGGAGCAAAATGGCTGAAATGATATATTTTCTTTCTTTTTGTCTTTGTCATAATAAAAAAAATACTGATTCTCCAACTTTGACTCCATCCACCTCTGCTCCCTTTGCCCCTCTGCTCACTCTTGTTATCAGTTCACTGTTTCCTCAAGGAAAATATAAGTTAAGCTTACCTTATTTACATTTAAATGATCAGATTTTCTTCTGTATGAAAAATATGCAAATTTGCCCTTTTCTGGAGTCTTGCAGGCATTCGGTGTGTAGATTTGTTGTGAGGG